TACATATAATATAATCATATAATAGTGCACAGTAAAATTTAAAGATTTAAATTTATATTTAGGCCTTAAAATAATACTAAGAAAATACAATAGGGAACAGTGTTAATACAATAACGTTTCTTTCCACTTGTAACCCTGTTCCCCCTACACAAATTACGAAGAATCAAATGAAAATTATAAATTACATAGGACGCAGGGTTAATTTTAAATGTGTACATATAAAAATTAGAGGTCAAAAAAATTAGTGTATCAAATCAACACTTACTTAAACATAGAAAATAAAGGTGGTTACCGCAAAATTCGTTTAGCATGCCATCCACATGTACACAACGCTTACACATAAGGACAACACAAATAATTAATTTAGGGCAGGACAAATAATGAATATCAGGCTGGAAGGGTGAATTGATTTTGTACAAATATAATTTAAATAAAATAAAAAACTTGCCAATACCAGGTACATAATAATTTTCAAGGCACTGCTTTCTGGTTTACCGCAACGCTTGTCTCGAAAATCGTGTGGACAAACGAATATCGAGTTTCAAAGCTAGAAGTGAAAAACGCAGATAGTATTGCTAAAAATCACCCATGCATCAGAATTGCAAGAGAAGGACACTTTGAACATTTAACGGTGCTTATTTCTTCTTTTCATTAGAAATTTGAGTTTACAAGTCTATACGACATCGGCAACACCGCCTAGTTGATCTCTCAACGCTTAAATACCACAGTAAAGTGAGTAGTCCTCAACAGTTTTCTATTAAGAAAAACAATTCATATTTATTTTAGTGTTTATTATTATTGCATTGTGATGAACCGGTTTTATTCTGATTTTATTATGTCCTGAATTTAGAAATATTTCTTTTTATTTCGGATTATTTTACCTCGGCGGCAAGAATTATTGATTTTTATATACATATACAGGGTGTCCGGTAAGTACCTCCTAATCTCTCGGGAGTGTATAGGGGAGGTCAAAATAAAACTAGTCCTTCCTATAATTTTTTTCCTAATGTGCCCCCTAACGGAGTTATGGGGGGTCAAAGGGGTACCTAGAAATTAACGTTTAGGGTTATAACTTTGAAACCACCCTGTATATTTTAATAAAATTTTCGTACGTTGTATTACACATGGAGCTCTACGATTTGATGCTAAAATCAACTTTTTGCTATTATCAGGTGTCCAGAAACGGACTGGCCCTATCACAATTTTTCTCAAAATTTTGACAGAAGTAATTTTATCAAACTGAAAATATTATTATTAGATACTCTGAAGGTTTTTCTTTAAAAATGGTACTCTTTATTTATTTCGAAAAAATGAACGGTTTGCGAGATAAATCGGTTTTGAAAAAAATTGGTAACAAATACAACAACAATTAAAATTTATTTTTTTACAATAAAATCATTCCCGCTAGTGCCAGCCTACAGATTCACCATAAACATTTACTGGTGGTGAATTAAGGGAATGAATAATGCCGTTTCTTGTAAAATCAACATCTATGACCAAAATACATCTACAAATTATTATTGCTCTTGTCTCCATGGAGTTCTTTTCTATTGTTTTCGTTGTTAGACCCTGTTGATTTTAAAGTACTTGTCAAAGGCGCGTGACAGAATAAAAATTCAATTTTATTGTGGTATTCGTTTTAAGCCGTTAGAAATAACATTTAAAAATGGAAGAATATTCCTGTGCAGAATATGCTGATATGCACCTAATTTATGGGGAAGCATTATGCAACTCCGTGGAGGCAAGAAGACTTTATGAGGAAAGGTTTCCGGGTCGACATTTGCCGAGTCCAAAAACTTTTGAAAGAGTTGATCGTAGTTTAAGAGAAACAGGTAAAAAAAAATAGTGAAAAACGTTAGTGAAACTAATTTCTTCCGAATCCTTTATTTAGGAAGCTTTTTGCCACGCCGTGGTGGAGCAGGAGCCCCGAGGAGAGTACGAGACCCTCATGTAGAGGAACAAATATTGGAAGACGTTGCTAATAATCCTTCAAATAGCATAAGGAAGCTTGCGGCGCAAAACAATGTTACAAAATGGGCTGTACATGAAACTCTGAAAGAACAATTGCTTTACCCGTACCACATCCAAAAAGTACATGCTATGTCTCCAGATGATTATCCAAAAAGACTTCAATACGCCAATTGGTTTTTACAGCATCATATTCGGAATCATAATTTTGGTACATCTATTTTGTTCACCGATGAAGCAGGTTTTACAAGAGACGGCATAATTAATTCGCATAATCTACATGTCTGGGATGAAGAAAACCCTCACGCTTTAGTTCAAACTCGCTACCAACAAAGGTTTATGGTGAATGTGTGGGCTGGCATTATCGGGAATCATTTGATTGGTCCATTTATTCTGGAGCAAAGACTTAATGGTGCTCTTTATTTGCAATTTTTAGAGGAAAATCTAAATATTTTGTTAGAAGAAGTGCCCCTTCAAATAAGAACTGAAATGTGGTACATGCATGACGGTGCACCACCCCACTTTGATCGTTTAGTACGTCAACATCTGACGAATGTTTTTGGTGATCGATGGATAGGTCGAGGCGGACCTGTATTATGGCCACCTAGGTCGCCCGACCTAAACCCATTAGACTTTTTTCTGTGGGGTCATTTAAAAAATAACGTTTATTCAACACCCGTAAATAGTAGAGAGGAACTTCTGCTGAGGCTAACACAGAACTGTGACCATCTCCGCAATAATCACGGAATATTATTTCAAGTGCACCGGGAAAACATTCGTAGGATTAGAAAGTGCATTGAAGTACGGGGTGCTCATTTTGAACATCTACCGAAGTAACATTTAGGTACCTTTGTTCATTGTTGAATGTTCTTTGTTGCATGTCTTGTAAGTAAGTTATTTTTCAAATGTTATTTTTAATTGGTCACTACTTGCTCATAAAGTATAGCCAACCCGTTCAAAGATTTCTGGACTTGATAAAGTTAAAGAAATTAAATGCATGAAATAATATGTAAAAAAAATAAATTTTAATTGTTGTATTTGTTACCAATTTTTTTCAAAACCGATTTATCTCGCAAACCGTTCATTTTTTCGAAATAAATAAAGAGTACCATTTTTAAAGAAAAACCTTCAGAGTATCTAATAATAATATTTTCAGTTTGATAAAATTACTTCTGTCAAAATTTTGAGAAAAATTGTGATAGGGCCAGTCCGTTTCTGGACACCTGATAATAGCAAAAAGTTGATTTTAGCATCAAATCGTAGAGCTCCATGTGTAATACAACGTACGAAAATTTTATTAAAATATACAGGGTGGTTTCAAAGTTATAACCCTAAACGTTAATTTCTAGGTACCCCTTTGACCCCCCATAACTCCGTTAGGGGGCACATTAGGAAAAAAAATTATAGGAAGGACTAGTTTTATTTTGACCTCCCCTATACACTCCCGAGAGGTTAGGAGGTACTTACCGGACAGCCTGTATATCAAATATCCGCTAGCGGGTCCGACCGGCCGTTACCACACTCTGGCAAGCCATTAGTCACGTGGAGGTCCCACCACGACTTGTGTCCATCCGGTGCGGATTTGGGTAACAAAAGCCCTCGACATTCCCCGAAACCGGCAGTTCCTAGCCAGAACTCGCTACCGATCAGAACTCGACCCGGACCAGAAGCTCCACCGCCAGCAAGTACTCTCCGCCGAAGCCAGCCCGGAATAACCAGTGAACCCAGTAAGAATTATTTTCCTTTATTATTATCCGTTCCAACCGGGTACAAGTCCGAAAAAATTTAAGTGTGGAATTACTGCGGGCCCGAGAAGAATATTCTTGGTAACCCGCACACAAATTCCACCATCCGTCTCAACCCGCACAACAGAGCAATCGTTGGATTCGGCATGTAGACCCAATCTTGACGAAGCCTGCGTGTTTACTACAGCGTTGCCTGGTGTCCCGCACCCTGATGTACGCCGAGTAATAGGGGATACGCGAACTAAGACCTAGAGTTTCGGCGTGTATACCCAATCTCCGGGTCGTTCCATATAGTATATGTACGTTTCTCCCTGGTCGGCGTGTATACCCATCAGACCAAGAAGCGTTGTATACTGAGATTCCTACAACATCAGTCACCAGGACGTATAAAACTCAAAGGCCAGTACGAATTGTAAGGCGAAATACTGTGGATCCCGTTTTACCATCCTATTTTTCCGCCTTGCACCGCCTGGACTTTCTTCACTGGTTATTGCTACCGCTTACCGCTTACCGCTTACTAATTTTGCATTGCTTGCTAGGCCGTAATACCGATATTTGACCGTCGACCTGAGTTTAAAATAATTCCGAAATAATACCGAATAATTTTGATTTATTTTCAGAATCAGCGGGGACCAATAAAAACAACTACAAATAAATTAGTTTCTTTTTATCAGACCGTTTAAAAAACACCTTTCTTTGTTTCTTAAAACCGTTTACTATTGTAAAGTAATAAATATTTTATGTTCGACTCCGTTCCTAAATATTTATTTCATTTCCAAAGGTGATATAGTTTTTAGTTTTGTCTCTTCAACACCGATTCTGTATATAATTATTGTTAATAAACTTGTAAATAGTTTCAGTCATTTAGGAGTGGGTAGAAATAAAATTGACACAATTTGTATTTGTACAAGGTATTAATATTTTTCCTTTTGAATAAATCCAGTAAAAATTGATAGGTTTATTTCTTTCACCGCCGAGGTAAACTGATAACATTCCGAAACATCAAAAACACTGATATCGTTTTGTAGAACTCCCGTTTAATTTCATATTTAAAATAAAACTACACTGAGAAAACTACTCTCTGCCGTTTTCTCCTAAAAGAAATACAATTGACCCCTGGAATTTATTTTCTTCACCTGTGCACTTTACTCTAAACCGAGGGTAAGGGTTACGTGGAGTTTCCCCCACTTAAAATATAGGGAAACTGGCGCCCGAGATTAAACCGAATATATAAATTATTGACTAATGTTACCGTTTAGTCCAGTCCGAGGAATAAAAGACCTTTCCGAAAAATTAAATTACAGGGGGTGCACACACCATAGTTGAAAGTAATAAAAAGTAACACCAACCGACCCATAGAGAGAGAACCGAGGAAAAGTGCGTCACAGCATATTTATTTCATTCCTAATTTTTTTTTTTTTTTGGACAAAAAAACTTAACTGTTTCTACATAATAAACCGTCTCGTCGTTTAGAATACACATGTACACATTTAAGATTCACTCTGAATATTGGTAATGAAAAATATAAATTTTTAAATATAGACAAAGCCGGTGTATATTACAAAGTATTCATTTTAATGCATTGTTACAAAAGCACTAGTCCGAAATCACTTGTCTCTTTCTGTTTCAGCAAAAGTTTGTTTGAACCCTTAAATAACTTCATTTTTGACTGGATTTTGCGTTTTAATGGACCGTGCTTCACACCCGCAAATGTTTTTTGTGCAGCAACAAATATCTCCTTAGAGACTTCTTATGCTTAGTTTCAGAATCACATTGATGCATTTGAACCCGTGACATACTTTCGCATGCTCATACATACTCACCCGAACATTTACACTCGTGAAAGCTCTCTATGCTTCGGCATGTGATATTTTATACAACTCCTGCAAATGGATTCATAATCACAGTCGGTACGCCTTATCTTTATGTTTCCATTGATACCGTTTGATACAACTCTTGTATTTAGTTTCAAAATCGCAGTTGTTACATTTGTACGTTTGGACCTGTGAAGAGTCTTTGTGTTTCAGTTGGTGTTTTTTCCTGCATTTGGATTCATAATCACAGTCGGTACATCTTCTCTACGTGTCAGTTGATGCCGTTTGATACAATTCTTGTATTTAGTTTCGAAATTGCAGTCATTACACCTGTACACCTGGACCTGAGAAGAATCTTTATGCTTAAGCTGATGCTGTTTGATACAACTCTTGTACTTAGTTTCGTAATCGCAATCGTGGCACCTGTACGTTTGAACCTGTGAAGGATCTTTGTGTTTCAGTTGGTGCTGTTTGATATAATACTTATGTTTAGTTTTGAAATCGCAGTGAGCACAATTATACATTTGAATCTGTGAAGGATCTTTATGTGTCAGTTGGTGTTTTTTCATATCACCCTTGTATTTAGTTTTGTAATCACAGTCGTTACACCTGTACGTTTGAACCTGCGAAGGATCTTTGTGTTTCAGTTGATGACGTTTTAAATCATCCTTGTGTCTACTTTCGTAATCGCAGTCGTTACACCTGTACATTTTGACCTGCGAAGGATCTTTATGTTTCAGTTCATGCCGTTTGATAGCACCCTTATATTTACATTCATAACTGCAGTCGTTACACCTGTACATTTGCACCTGCGAAGGATCTTTATGTATCAATTGATGTGTGGTAAAATTTGACCTATTCTTTGATTCGTATGTGCAGCCATCACATTTATAAATGGGCAGTTGTGAAGTGTCCTTATTCGGTAATTCTACATAATTGTTAGAGTTTTTATGTTTTATATAATGACTTTTAAAACTGAACTTCCCCTTTGTTTTGAAATCACAAATGTCACACTCGTACAATCGTCTTTCAGATGCACTTTTGTGTTTCGCCTGATGCTTAGCAAGCTCACATCTGCACTTTGTCTTGTAATTACATGATCCGCATCGATGCATACGCGTTTCCGAAGGATCACTATGCCTCAACCGGTGTTTCTGAAAAAATTTTTTACTTTCAGTTTCATACTCGCACAATTCACATTTATATGCTTCCGAATCATTCTCGTGTCTCCCACGATGTGTCATAAAACGACTCTCGCTTCTATTTTCGTAAATACATTTATCACATTTGTAAAATACTTTGTTGTCCTGGTTGACTTTGGTATTACATTCGTTTGTCGCTCTATTCTTATGTTTACATCCATCCTCTTCTGCATTTTTATGAACACTCTTCTCGAAAGATTCACTATCGGAGCTCTGCAGTAACGAGTCACTGAAAAAATTACATATTACAGATGCAATTATGCAATTTTCTGAACACACAAGGCATTATTTCAGTTTTATTATCATATAAATCAAATTTTTGATGACAATTAGGTCATATTTTGATTGAAAATATGTTAGAAATAATTAATTATACGAAAACCCTCAGAAACACAAGAAATTAATGCAAGAGAGGCAAAATTAAATAAGATCTGGAGTTATACGCTTACCTTATAAATTATTATTAAAATAGTCTTCTCTTACCTTCTTTCCTCATCTTCCGATTTTATGTCGATACTTTCAGCTTTGATTGACATTTCCATCTTGTTGATATCGAATTCTTTGTCCTGGTTTTCAGTGTTAACGAATAAATCAGATGGTGACGTATCTATCTGGCTTTCTGTTGCTGCGCTATTAAAAATACCTCTAATTTCTTCCTGTACTTCCGAGCAATTTTTTAGGAAACTGTTGTGGGTGCACACAGATTCAAAACATTCCTTACATACAACGGGATCTTTGATGATATTTATATTCTGCAAAGTAGTTTCATTAAATTGCAAAAAATGTAACTATTTAATATCATTGATACCATTTCAGGAGCCAACTTCTCGATAGCTTCAAGTTCCTGTTCACGTATGCACCTAAACTCACTTTCTACTGGCTCCATACACAATCGACATATTCTCCGACTATCTGAAATATCCATTGACTCGCTTATCTTTTCCTGGATGTACACATCTCTTAAGTCGAGCTGTAACATTTTTTCACAATCCATATATGGAATAATTGTGTAATCGTTCTTCAGACAAGTTGACTTAAATTCGAATGCTGCGTTTAACTTTCTTCTGCAGACGTTACATATAACCTCTTTGCCGTCGCTATAAAATTTCTGAAATATATGCAACTTTAACCATAGAGAAAGAAAATAACTTTGGCGGAAAATATCAATTATTGTTAAGTCGCTCTAATGTGTTGAGGTGTGCTAATTGAGATATACAGGGTGATTTCACTTTAAATACAGAAACTGCAGGAACAGATTAGTTGCCAAAAATAAGTAGAGTTTGCTCTATCAACTTTTTTCCTAGGGGGACCGTGGTATTCGAGATACAGGATGTTCAAGTTCCCAAATGAAATTATATTTTGTGTCATTTCTTCATAATGCGCTGAACCATTTGATTGAAATTTACTACAACGTATTCACTTAATTAGATGTAACGTAATTTTAATCTCGTAGCGTTAACCAGTGGCCTGTTACTGAAGGTTGTGCTCCGTTTCCCCAAGAAAAAAATATGCCATGGTGGTTTTTTGTAGAAACAACGTTAAATTTAGGTAATGTTACGTTAAATAAATAACAAGTGTTTCTTGATGTTTTTTAATAGTTGCAGTCGTTTAGGAGACAATTTACTTATTTGCCGAATATAATGCGCAAATTTAGTCCACCTACTCATATTTGTTTAAAATCCATCTGCAAAAATTGATTACTTTGTCTGCATTATCGGTTGGTAATCTTTACGATGATCTCGTTTTAGTATTATAATTAGATTTGTTTATTTATTCCTGAAGCTGCAGTCTTTCTTGGGCTTACGAACACGAGACGAATTGTGGCAAAAAATAGAGGAAAACTGTAATCTCCTCAGAGAATGTCATGGTATTATTTAGTTTGATATTTTTTCCAGAAATAATGTTATTTCCACAAAAAACCGCCAACGGCGTATTCTTTTCTTGAGCGGACGCCTTAGTAGCAGGTCACTGGTTAAAAGCAGGAGGTTTTTATCAAATAAACGGATTACCATAAAAGGTCTAATTAAGTGAATATGCTGTAGTACATTACATTGCATTCCGTCAACGCATTATGAAGATATGACAGAAAATATACAGGGTTGTGATTTAATAACGGATAAATTCAATAAAAGAGTGTGTAATTTTTTTAGGAAAAATCCTCGGACACGTCGATTTTGTTTTTAGATTGCGCATATTTTGACATAAAATGTAGATATACAGGGTGCCTCAAAAAAGCGTGGCAGAAAATTTTTTTTTTCTTAAATGGAACCCCCTATATATTTTTGCATTTTCGGATTTTCCGAAAAATTCTGGACATGTTTTGTGCATAATGTCCTATACCTATCTTCAACTGTTCACGAAATATTTACGTTTAAATAATAACACTTTATTGTAAATAAATTGATGTACATTCTGGAAGTTTATTTTATTAAATGCTGGAAGTGGCCGCCATTAACAGCTCTGCAGTACCCCAAACGATAGATAAATTCTTGCTGTACATTTTCAACAGTTTCTGGAGAAATATTCCTAATTACGTTATGAATACGATCTTTGAGGATATCAAGCGTGCGTGGCTTATCTTTGTACACTTCATTTTTGACATAACCCCAAAGAAAGTAGTCCAGTGGATTAAGGTCGGGTGACCTAGGTGGCCACTCTATTGATCCACGTCTGCCTATCCACCGGTTTGGGAAAACATCATCTAGGAATCTTCTAACAATCGCAGCATAATGGGGCGGTGCCCCGTCCTGTTGAAACCATAACGCTTGGTTTGGCATGTCTGGCATATTTTCATCAGGATACAGTGTCGCCAGTGCTGGAATCAAGTCGTTTACTAAAAAGTCATGATAACGTTCTCCCGTCAAAGATCCTTCAAAGAAGTATGGTCCTATTACTCTGTTATTAATAATCCCTGCCCATACATTCACCTTTTCATTATACTGAGAATGACTTTCCGTAAACCAGTGTGGATTTGCTGGTGCCCAGTACCTAAAATTTTGCCTATTTACTTCTCCATTCAAACAAAACGTTGCCTCGTCTGAAAAGCATATCTGTTTTACTAGTCTAGGGTTATTATCAGTTCTTTCGGTCATGGTCTGGCAAAACTCGTTTCTGCGATCTGGATCATCTTCAAGTAGCTCTTGAAGTAATTGAATTTTATAAGGGTGCCACTTTTCCTTCTTTAAAAATTTTGTTACAGTCGATCTATGAACTGTATTATCTAAAGCGAGCTGAGTACTTGAGAGGTTAGGATTTTCGTTTAATGAAACCAGGATATCCAGTTTTTTGTCATTAGAATTTTTCGGAAAATCCGAAAATGCAAAAATATATAGGGGGTTCCATTTACGAGAAAAAAATATTTTCTGCCACGCTTTCTTGAGGCACCCTGTATATCTACATTTTATGTTAAAATATACGCAATCTAAAAGCAAAATCGACGTGTCCGAGGATTTTTCCTAAAAAAAATTACACACTCTTTTATTGAATTTATCCGTTATTAAATCACAACAATGTATATATTTTTTTGTAAACTTGTTAATAACATTCGACTTTCTCAAAAACGATACAAGATATCGACTGATATATGGTTTAGCTTTTTTAGCAGAGTGAGAGAGAAATCGAACTATGAAAGAAAAATTACAAATTTGGCAACGCCGTCAAAGATGTATAAATTTAAATGGATAATTACGTCTGCTCCTGTATAATCCAGACATATTGAATATGGGTTTAAACTTGGAAAAGAACATTATCACGAATATCATTTTGACATGTGTTGCCAAGATAATTACTATTAGACAAAAGAACGACGGAGCGTTGTTATAGAGCTAAAAACTTTCAAAAGTAACTTGGGTCGAGCGTACGCTGTGTACGTGTATGTTGTGAGCTGTGAGCTCTGTGATTATTGATAAATTTTAACTATATTGAGACGCTTACTTAATTAACATATCTGACATATCAGTTACATATGGCATATGCAGTGTGCGGACATTTGGTTCAGTTGCTGCATGTGTTGTACAAATCAGTAAATCACTGCTTTTTACAAATTTTTATAACAGTATCTTCGCCATTTGGACGTAGTGATCATATCAGTGTCGTACTCTGAGTGGGATACCGTTGCAGCACGATACATGTTTTACATCCATAAGCGCTTATGATAACATAACTATGACTAATTGTGTTAAATGTGTCCGCGAGAAGAACGACGGATTTGTTGGATGGGAAGGGTGCTGTAACAGACGGTTCCACTATTCCTTAGCAAGACTCTAATACTGAATTTTTGATGTTGACCAAGAGCAAAAATTTGTTTTACTTATGCCCAGACTTCAAAATCAAATGTAACATCGTACAGAGAACATCGGTTGCTGCTTATTCTGAAAATCTTGAAACAATCCACGCAGCGATCCCAAACATAAGTACTTGTTCACACGAAAAAATAGATTCTGTTGTAAACAACTTATCGTCGATTATTTAAAGTCGGAAGTTTTTAACTTTATGAACAATTAATGAGTTAGAACCAAAGATCGATAATATTTCTACTTCAGTACGATCCGGTCTTAAAAAATCATATGCGACTGCTGCCTCTGGTTCTACCGCCTCTACTTTTGTTATTAAACCAGAGAATAAACAGGCGGTATCTGTCACTAAGTCCGACATGCTTCAAAATCTGAATCCAGTTAGTTAAACAAAGTTAGAAACGCTAGAGACGGAGGATTGGTAGTTAGCTGTGGCAACATCGGCGATTCAAGCAAATTCAAAGAGCATCACAAAAACTTTCGGACAAGTACATCGTTGAGGAATTGGCAGTTTTACACCCTAGAATTATAAAATGTTATAAACTCTAACTGTTCTTGTAAAGTTATTTCTGTGACTATGTTGTTCTTCAACACTTTTATGACAAAATAAATTATGCTTTTACGAAACGTTTTCCCACGAAAACACCTGCACGTAAATGTTTTTCGCCGTGGTTTAACACAGAAATAATAAACCTCTTACAAAAAATCAAAACTGCAGGTTGATTACGATCATTTTAAAAGTCTTCGAACACAGTTTGAATGTTCCGTAAAAATTGTTTATAATAATTATATTCAGGAGACTGAAAGTTCCTTACAAAATGATACCAAAAAATTTTTGGAATCTCATTAATTCAAAGCAAAACTGTACTTGTATATCATCCTGTGTGAATTATGAAAATTCCAAACTTGAAAATCCCCAGGACATTGTGAACGTTTTTGCCCACTATTTTAGTAACTCTTTTATTACATCCTCGAATGTAATGTTATGTCATTTGTTCGTAAAAATAGCAAAATTTGTTTTAATTATACTTTAAATAATCAGATACTTAATCGGCCTGAATTTGTTAAAAATCACGGCATCATTTTTGACGGCAAATTAACATTCAATAAACATATGGAAGAATGCATAGCTGGAGCGTACAAGAATCTGGGGTTCATACTACGTAACAGTAGAGATTTTAAAAACATATCTACATTACGAGTATTATTTAATAGCTTTGTTAGGCCTAAATTAGAGTACGGCTCTGTAATTTGGTCACCAAGTTATAATTGTCACATAACGGTGTTGGAGAAAGTACAGCGAAGGTTCTTTAAATCCGCAAGATTTATATTGGATGGGATTTATCCGACCAGAGGGTATTCACGAGACTTATTATTGAAACGATTTGAGATGAGCAGTCTAATTAGAAGGAAGATTATGAATTCTATAATTTTCATATACAAGCTAGATCTAATATTTTGCAGTGGTCTCCCTTGTATATGATGCTTAGAAATTACTGTAACATTGAAGAACGGCTGGATATATTTAACCGTACGCATGCGGATATAAAGCGTGCTTATACATTTTAAGATCTGTATTTTATTCTTATAACTCATATTTTATTTTTGTCTTTATTTTGTAATATTGTTATATCATTGTTAGTTATATATGTGTATATTTTCTGTTTTTATTCATCCTGTAAAAGGGTTCTCATCCCGTCGGGTGAATTAAATTAAATAAATAAATAAACTTGATGGACTAAAATATTTTTGTATAATAATTTATAAGAAAATGATTTTCAAACTTCGATATCTCAAAAACGGTTCAGTTTAGGTACATGATGTGCTTATATGAATTATTGTTTAAAATTTCGAGAATTGAAATATGGAATAATATAAAGGGTGTTCCAATAAAGAAAAAGCAACGTTGTTTCGTCATAACTTCTTGACTGATGCTGTATACTTAATTTTTCTTTATTGTAATAGATTTAAAATAACCATGAAACGTTTTTGTGTCATGATTTTTCGATAGCTATCTTACTTTACTAAAAGCTATTTTACATTGACAATTTATTGATCAATTAATTGATGAAGTCTCTTCATCAAGAAATTGGACAAGTGTAATGCACCAAATCAGTTGTCAAATAACTTCATCAATTTATTCATCAAGTTCTCGACAGATTTCCAGCCTCAGATCAGTAACGAGGTTATGTTATTGGAATATGTAAATAATTGTGTGGCGTCGTGCTAGTTTTGCATTGTTTTTACTGATTTGTTATTTACAAAAACTAATATTGATATAATATGTGTCAGAACGGTACCACTGTTGTATCACTAGAATTATGAGTGGAAAGGTGACATTTTTGAAAGTCATTTGCTTCTTTGATTCATTGGTAGAACTGATTCATTCGTCAAAAAACTTGACAAAGTCTATAGCAGTGTAAAACCCACTGTTTACCAATAAATTCGTGAATTAATTGATGAAGAACTTCGTCAATTTATTGTTGAATAAATTGTCAATGTAAAACAGCTATAATACATATCAATCACTGACTTACCAATTTCACCAAAAGAACATCTAAAATATCTCTAGTAACGTCGTCTATTACCTCAAAACCTTTAACGGTTACAGTTTTGAGGCAAAGCTTGCACGAAGTTTCTTGAACACCAGTCATTACAACAATTTTCTTTGAAATGTAAATTGTAAATGTCAAACTAGTAACTTGTGTTGGTTGTTTAACCTCAATGAAAATATCGAATAGAGAAAGTTGTTGTTCTTCTTCCTCTTCTGTTGTCGGAACAACAAGAATGGTACAATCTCGTCTATAATGCTTGCACTATGACTACGAATTACTGGCAAAAAATTGATGTAACAATTTTTCTTGTACACACACATCACTAATCCGGTTCGTCAAAACATGGCGCTATTGGTTTACATCATACTTCTATAAATATACCAAGCACTGCATATCTTTTACATGAATGATATTGTTCCCAAAAAGAGGGGGTAAAAAGTGTACATGTTGCATTTCGTCAATTTTGCGCAAGCCCGAAAATTTAGCGGGTTATTTCAAATTAAATTTAATAAGTTTTTTTGTTCTTGAATTCGCTTTACACATAATTACAGTTGCATTGTCTGTAGTAAGTGTAGTTTTCAATTTACTCGAAACAAAGTAGTAACTATAGTGTATTCTGCATTTGAAAATTTGTTCCATCCGTTGATGACGTCATCAACGAGATACGGATTTTCGATTTGAAGCAAATTGTAACCATTTATTTAATATATATAAACAGAAGTTGGTCACGATATGTAAGACATAAAGACGTATAATTTTTACGTTAATTGTTAAAATCGATTGAAGTACGTAGAGTTAAGCCAAGACAAAGGCAGGGCTAATATCACTTATAAATTGTTGAATGTTTGAAAAATTTAAAACCCGATTTGCATTTACTAAAATTTGATGGCCGTTCTTCAGCCAGAACTCCCGACGTTAGAAGGGTGACCCTTCTTATTCTTTGAGGCATGGATTAGTTTGCAGATTTTCATGTACCGGAAAAAGTCAAAGTAAAGCTTAGTAAAAACAAACAAAAGTAAAAGGCTCCGTCTTTTAATAAATAAATAAATAAATAAATAAAATAAATAGGTAACCTTTATTTTCCTTAGAGACTTTGTAATAGAGTAGGGGAATAGTCAATAAAACAAAAATCTGATTAATACAGTGTAATGCATACGCTAAGAAATTCTATGCAATTAATTTAATTTTACATATATATTCATATAATAGTGCACAATAAAAACTAAAAAACTAAGATTTAAACTTATTATATTTAGGCATTAAAATAATAGTAAAAAAATACAATAGGGAACAGTGTTAGTACGATGTTTCTTTGCTCTTGTAACCCTGTTCCCCCCCAACCCAAAATTACGAAGAATTAAATGAAAATTATAAATTACATAGGACGAAGGGTTAATTTTAAATGTGTACATATAAAAATTAAAGAGGTCAAAAAAAAATAAATGTATCAAACAAATACTTATTTAAACATAGGAAATGAAGGTGGTTTCTTTGAGGAAAAAACTGTTAATTGCATGTTCTGCATAGTAAACCGTCTCCTCGTTTAGAATACACATGTACACATATAAGATTCACTCTGGATATTGGTAACGAAAAATATATATTCTTAAACGTAGAAGAAGCAGGTGTATATTACAAATTGTTCATTTTAATACATTGTTACCACAACACTAGTCCGAAAACACTTATCTATTTCTGTTTCAGTGAATTTTGTTTGAACTGATTTGATGAGGGTGTGGCATCTTTAATGCGGAAAATTAAAAACCTAGACTATTGACAATAAATGAAGTAAAATAATATATGCTAACATAAGGCGCGATTATGAGATTTGAGTATCAAACATATCTTCCAAAAAATTACAAGAAATGACAAAGTGTTAATGCCGGTCCTGTTTAACATAGCGCAAAAAACATTGACCTAGTCCGCACTCCTCACGGCACCTGTGGAGTGTCAGTCAGTGTAAGTACGCTTTTGACTTGCGGGTGAATTGTTGCCAAGTTGTGTCAAAAAGATCGCGCTTTTACTGTTTAGACGTTAAGTGTTTATTCAAGACGTTTCTTATTTTTTATTTTTTAAGTTATTGTTTTAACTAAATCGGCAATGGATAACGAGGACAACAATAATACGTTTACTACTATCGAACGATAGGTACCGGCAAGTTTGCATCTTTTTTGTTTGTCGTGATCCAACCTATCACTTGCTAAAATAATAGTAGTCTTTTCTGTAACACCATGGTACTTTGTTTCTACAAACCTCTTGTCTGGGATTGCTCATTATCATTTACAGTGAAATAACTAACTAATGAATTTTATGTTTATTTTTCCTTTTAATTAAAACGAGAGGATTGTATTAAACTGGCCAAAATTATTTATTATCGCATTAAAACATTTTATCTCTTTTGTGTGTATTTCATACATTTTAATTTGGCAACACTGTTTTCCGCAAAGGCTCGACTTTCTGTTAAGTTCGGTTCGGCAAGCTTGCGCTGATGTTAATCCAAAGGCATGACATTTTTGACCAGGACCGTACTAAGATTTATTTCTTCGCTACAAAATTGAAGTTCAATGTTCTTGACAAAACGTGGATATATGAATTTCTTATATATGACTTTTTTATTGCATATATTCCTAGGAATCTGCATTTTATTTTTTCTGCACCGAAGACGCCACACCCTGTATTTATGGTTAGTCCCTTAAATGCCTCCATTTTTGACTGGATTTTGCGCTTCAACGGGCCACACTTCACACCCACAAATGTTTTTTGTGCATCAGCAGATATCTCCTTAGAAACTTTTTACGCTTCGTTTCAGAATCACATTGATGCATTTGAACCTGCGACATACCTTTGTGCATCATCAGATGACAGATACAATTTTTCTTATACATTGAGTCATATTTACTAAAACTGCATGCTCATACATACTCACCCGAACGTTTACACTCGTGAAGGCTCTATATGCTTCATGTAATATTTTATACCACTCCTGCATTGGGATTCATAATCACAGTCGGTACACCTTCTCTATGTGCCAGTTGGTGCCGTTTGATATAACTCTTAGATTTACTTTCGAAATCGCAGTCGTAACATTTGTATGTTTGAACCTGTGAAGGACCTTTGTGTTTCAGTTGGTGTTTTTTCATATAACCCATGTATTTAGTTTCGAAATTACAGTCATTACACCTGTACGTTTGAACCTGCGAAGGATCTATATGTTTCAGTTGATGCCGTTTGATATAATCCTTGGATTTAGTTCTGAAATCGCATTCCTTACACCTGTACATTGGAACCTGCGAAGGATTTTTGTGTTTCAGTTGGTGGTTTTTCATACTAAACTTGTATCTAGTTTCGTAATCGCAGCCATTACATCTGTACATTTGAACCTGTGAAGGGTCTTTATGTTTCAGTTGGTGCTTTTTGATACAACTCTTGTATTTAGTTTTGAAATCACAGTCATTACACCTGTACGTTTGTACCTGCCAAAGATCTTTGTGTTTCAGTTGGTGTTTTTTCATATCACCCTTGTATTTAGTTTCGAAATCACAGTCGTCACACTTGTACGTTTGAACCTGTGAAAGATCTTTGTGTTTCAGTTGGTGTTTTTTCATAGCACCCTTGTATTTAGTTTTGAAATCGCAGTCATTACACCCGTACATTTTGACCTGTGAAGGATCTTTATGTACCAACTGATGTTTGGTAAAGTTTATCTTCTTCTTTGATTCGTATGTGCAACCATCACATTTATAAATGGGCAGTTGTAAAGTGTCCTTATTCGGTAATGCGGTGTATTTTTTGTCGTCCTGCTTATCTTTCGTAGTACAATCGTTTGTCGATTTATTCTCATGTTTACATCCATCCTCTTCCTCATCTCTAAGGACACTCTTCATGAATGATTCACTATCGGAGCTCTGCAGTAGCGAGTCACTGGAAAAATTACATATACAGGGTATTTTCCCAGGTGAGATGTTAAGTTCCTGAACTCCACAAGACATTATTTCAGTTTTATTATCATATAAATCAAATTCTTGATGACAATTAGTAATATTTTTATAGAAGATATGTTAAAAATAATAATTAATTATGCGGGAACCCTCAGAAATACAGGAAATTAATGCAAGAGAGGCAAAAATAAATAAGATCTGGAGTTATACAATTACCTTGTCAAATTTTGTTAAAATAGTCTTCTCTTACCTGCTTTCCTCATCTTCCGATTTTATATCGATACTTTCAGCTTTAATTGACATTTCCGTCCCATTCATATCGAATTCTATGTCCTGGTTTTCAGTCTTAAGGAATAAATCAGATCGTGACTTATCTATCTGACTTTCTGTTGCTGCGCTATTAAAAATACCTCTAATTTTTTCCTGTACTTCCCTGCAATTTTTTAGGAAACTGTTGTGGGTGCACACAGAATCAAAGCATTCCTTACATATAACGGGATCTTTGATGATGTTTATAATCTGCAAAATATAGTTTTCTAAATTCTGAGAAAGGCAAGTATTTAATATCGTTCATACCAATTCAGGAGCCAGTTTCTCGATAGCTTCGAGTTCCTCTTCACGTATGCACCTAAACTCACTTTCTACTGGCTCCATACACAATCGACATATTTTCTGACCATCTGAAATATCCATTGAGTCGGTTGTCATTTCCTTCGTATACACATCTCTAATATCGAGCTGTAACATTTTTTCACAATCCAAATATGGAATAATTGTGTAATCGGTCTTCAGACAAGCTGACTTAAATTCTAATGCCGCATATAATTTTCCTCTGCAGGCATTACATATAACCTCTTTGCCCTCGCAATCAAATTTCTGAAAAATATGCAGCTTTAACCAGAAAGTCAGTAACTGTGACAGAAAATATCAGCAGAAAAATCAATTGAAATAGTAAAAAGTAATAGGTATGATTGACTTACCAATTTCAGCAAAAGAATATCTAAAATATCTCTAATAACGTTGTTTATTACCTCAAAACCTTCAACGGTCACAGTTTTGAGGCAAAGCTTGCACGAAGTTTCTTGAACACCAGACATTACAACAATTTTCTTTGAAATGTAAATTAAATATAAAACTTGTGTTGATTATTTAACCTCGATGAAAACATCGATAATAGTTATTGTTCTTCTTCGTCTTCTGTTATCGGAACAACAAGAATGGATATGTTGGATTCTTAAGAATGACGTTTATCGATTATCTATAAAACGAATCGAATCAAATCTGACAATTGACAGATGCCGAATGTAAACTTTTCATCTGAAAAACCTGTTTTTTGCTCTTGAATTCGCTTTGAATATAACTACGGTTGCATTATCTGTGTTAAGTGTAGTTTTTAATTTACTTGAAACAAAGTAGTAACTGTAATGTATATTGCATTTGAAAATTTTTTCTAACAGCAGATGACGTCATCAACGAGATGGCGAATTTGGATTTGAAGCGAATTATAACTATAGCTGTTTTCCTTTTACAAATTTTTATCTTAGCTAAATTTCAGTTTTCTTACATAATCTTGGTTGGATTAATTTCACAAAAGGAACACGGTGATTCTTCTGTCAAATATCATCAGATCATAAAACAATGCATAATACCAAATTTATATTTCCTGAATCTGTAAACTCACGTTAATCGTACTCAACAGGATATACCAAGCATTTCTTGTCCATAAATAAGTCATCTGTAAAAGCAAAATAAAATTGCTTTAAATATTTCAATGTTTTTCTTACAAGTCTACGGGCTTCCTCTACAGGGTGTTTCATAATTGGATGTCAATATTGAAGGGTGTTAATCTGTGCGTGATTTTAAGACAAAAAGTTCATATAAACATAGGTCCGTTTTCGCTTTATTTTTGATATACAGGGTGATGAATATCTTTTTGTAAAATTGTTTTTTTTAATAACTCCGAAACTAAATTAGATAGTTTTATAAAACTTAGTATGTGTAAACTAGGTGCAGAGACACGTCTTTTGCATAATAAACGAATTTTCATTTTTAACCAGTGGCGTCCCAATTAACTTCAACCTCATTATTTTGAATGAAAAAAATGATACGCCACTGCATTTTTGAAAAACAAAAATTATTGTATAAATGGTGCTTTATTTTGTAATAAAAAAGATCTCTTGAGTTTTTTTCTTATCTTGCACTGTTTTTTAGTAAAAAAATAAAGAACAACATACTAACCCACATTGAGCCAAACAGAAAGCATGATATAAAGATTACCTAGTAGGCTGTGGTTGTTGATTACTGTTGTGATTTATTAATTTTGACAGTTCAGTTCATTCAACTCAATTTTGATACTTAAAATACCTGTACAGTGTTATTTGATAATGGTTGAGTTTACTAATCAAGAGTTGGCAGACATTCATTACATGTATGGCTTGGCTGATGGCAGAGCGCCAGAGGCTAAACGATTATATCAAGAGCGTTTCCCGAATAGAGTCACACCAGATAGACGAACATTCTCAAACATACATAGAACGTTGGCTGAAACAGGTACTTTTAAGCCAAATAATCAATTAAAAGGTGCCCATCGGACTACTAGAACTCCAGAAGTTGAAGAAGCAGTTTTAAATTCAATTGATGAAAATCCTAATATTAGCACTAGACAAATTGGAAATAACTTGAATATCTCGCACATTCTAGTTTGGAGAATTCTTCACGATTTTCTGTTATACCCGTATCATATTCAACGGGTCCAAGCCTTACTTCCTCGAGATTTTCCTTTGCGAATCAACTTTTGTCAATGGTTTTTGGAGAAAATTGCGCAAAATCCCTTGTTTGACTGTGAAATAATGTTTACAGACGAAGCTAACTTCTCTAGAAACGCTATAAGAAATTTCCATAACAATCATGTTTGGGCCGAAGAAAACCCGCATGCAATTGTGAACTTTAACAATCAAGAACAATTTTCCGTGAATGTTTGGGTTGGAATTGTTGAAAATCACTTAATTGGACCTTTTTTTCTGCCACAAAGGCTAGACGGCCGTACATATCGTCGGTTTCTAGAGGAGGATTTGCCCGTATTACTTGAAGAAGTGCCACTTTTAACTAGAAATAGAATGTGGTTCATGCATGATGGTGCACCAGCTCATTTCCATCGAGAAGCAAGAGAATATTTAAATCGCACATTTCATGACCGATGGGTAGGCCGTGGTGGACCCCAACAATGGCCCCCCAGGTCCCCAGATTTGAATAGTGCGGACTTCTTCTTATGGGGGCATCTGAAAACTCTGGTTTACAACACTCCGGTTAACACTGTAGAAGACCTGAGGAATCGCATAAGAGCTTCCTGTGATGTAATAAGGAACACTGACAACATTTTTCAAAGAGTCCGCACTAATATGAGAAGAAGAGCTGAAGCATGTATCCTTGCAGGTGGAGGGCATTTTCAACAACTGATGTAATTGTTTGTTTTTTTCGTTTCACAAAATTGTTATTTGTTGATCGTCAATCGTAATTATTAATAATATTATACAATAATGTGTATAAGTTATCTAGTAAAAGAATTATTTCCATAAAATGTGTAAAAAGTACTTCATTCCACGTACAGATAATTATTGTTGTTCTTTATTTTTTTACTAAAAAACAGTGCAAGATAAGAAAAAAACTCAAGAGATCTTTTTTATTACAAAATAAAGCACCATTTATACAATAATTTTTGTTTTTCAAAAATGCAGTGGCGTATCATTTTTTTCATTCAAAATAATGAGGTTGAAGTTAATTGGGACGCCACTGGTTAAAAATGAAAATTCGTTTATTATGCAAAAGACGTGTCTCTGCACCTAGTTTACACATACTAAGTTTTATAAAACTATATAATTTAGTTTCGGAGTTATTAAAAAAAAAAATTTTACAAACAGATATTCATCACCTGTATATCAAAAGTAAAGCGAAAACGGACCTATGTTCATATGAACTTTTTGTCTTAAAATCACGCACAGATTAACACCCTTCAATATTGACATCCAATTATGAAACACCCTGTATATTTACATTAATAGTATAAATTTTATCTACGGGATCTATTTAGGCTTATTAATATTTTTTTTCAAAAACAAAAAGGATTCCCCACTAATGGCAAGAAAACCGAACACCAAATATCAAATAAACTGTTATATGTTTTGTAAGGTAAAAGATATAAACTTAACTTCTATGTTTATATAACCTTGTAGTATGGTAGATTAGATTTGGCGTAGGTATGGTGGGAGGTAAATAGCTCAGTTAATCTTAAAATAAGAAAATAAAAGGAACAGGGCATTAAGGAAGATTATGTTAGATTAACTAGAATTGGTGTAAAAGGAAAACGGCTATTATGTTTTTCCAAGTAGACAGCGCTATCTATCAATAATTGTAGACACCAACGTCTTGTTGACTAAAATATTGTACAGTATATTTCAATCAACGACCCCTATTTTATTTATATTAGTACTATTTTTCCCGAAAGATGGCGCCACAAATTTAATTTCTGTCTTAATTTTAGCATCTCTTAATTTCTAGACGTTATCAGTTTGGTTTAGACTGATCAGTTTGCACCAAAGACCTCAGAATGACGAGACAAGTAATTCCCTATGCATTGCAAAGGAATTGTTTTGATTTTCCACAACTTGAGACATCCTGCTATTAAACAAGGATGAAGATAGTTCTTTGTTTACTAGGGAACTCTTAATCAGTGGCGTGTGTGTTAAAAAGGGTGATACATTTTAATATTTGTCTAATTTATATATGTAGTTACCGATTTCACACCTAATTTGGTTTTAAAATAATGTTAATGACTTCTTTTTTAAATAAATAGAACCATGTTTGTTTTACTCCATAACGGCACTTACTGCCGAAAAAAAGTAATACTAGTTACAACAATCTTTATTTTCTCAGTAACAATATACATCAATATGTTAAATAATACTAATTAATAAAAGTTTTTACCAGTTCAAATAGGAATCACAAAGTTACAGTTACAGTTACATATAGTATGGTAGCTATACTATACTCGTATACAATAATATGCATATCAAGTAGGACAATTAAGTGATAAATGAAAGAGAAATAGTAAATGGGGTTATTACACATATTTTTAAGTTGTTTAATTCTTAAAACAGATTTATTGGATCTAATTTGTTATGGTGACAATTGCTACAAAGTGATCCTGAATTATGTGCAAAAAATTGTTTATACAATTTTAATAGGGGTCCTGTATTTTGACTAAACGAACTTGGGAACTCAGGAACTGCTGTGTACCTTAAGATAAACTCGGCCACCAGGTCTTATTAAGAAATCACTTGATGTGAAGTGATCTGAACATACAACACTATCTTTAGGACTATTTTCCTTTCCTATGCAGCTCAAAATGCGAGAGAGCCAAACGTCTCGGCGTTCAACATTCGAAGGAATCCTAAAATCAAATTACCTAGGTATATTTCCTTTTAAATAATGTTGCCTTTGCAATTCATGTTACTTTTTATTTAACCGTAACACACAATTCACGTTTTAAAAAAATATTTTATATTTTCAATATTATTGCACGGGAAATTTTCTATTTCAAATTTTGTTTTAAACTACCGTCTGTTATCTGTTACGCCCATGGTAAATCTACCTACCTGTGAAAAGAGCGATTGCCTCCACTTTTAAAGCGAAATCTACATATAACACAATATTTTCCCATTGTCTATTCACAAAAACTATAAATTCTGCCAAAGAAACTAATAATCCACGGTAAACACAACGTTAAACTCAGTAAGCACGCAAAGAATGGAGGCCGATAGTCGTAAACAATAATAAACATCTAGCATAGAGCAAGTACTGCGTGCGCACCTTACCACATGGCTTTAGCCAATAGGAGGCTGAGTTCTCAAAATATTTACAGTAGAACAAAACAAACCAAGACAATGCACTGTCTATCCTTTCTGAGGTCGTTGGTTTGCACTGTTTGCAGATTTTTATGTACTGAAGATCAAGAAGTATGTAAAAACAAACAAAAGTAAAGAGCTGGTTTAAACAGGTTAATACAGTGTAATGCATATGTAATGAAATTATATTTAATGCATTTAATCCTATATACATATAATATAA